GTTTCCGTTCATCGGAACAATCAGTTGTGTGCTCAAACTATTGTTCGGGTGCTACCGTATCCTGGGAAACTATTGTTGCAACGCTCCTAGCATCGTGGGAGGCAACGAATAGTTTAAGGATATTGTGCGTTGCACAAGCTTTGACTATTTTGTGTTCCACCTAATTTCTATTTTTCTTTGGCTGATTTAATTAATTTATTTTATTAATTTTTCTTCATTTTTTCGAGTTCACACCCAACACCGCATACTTGTATCGGTGCTACATAGTATAGAGTCCGAATATAATAAAAGTGGTCTTTCCCTATAAACTATAAACTACTTCACTTTTGATCATTTGAGATGAAATATTGCTTTCATATAATTTTCATCATCCACTTTTGGTCATATAAGGGACACTATTACATAGTGGAAGCACATTTCTTTGCAAGGAAGAAAAATTCCGATTTATTTACAAAATCGTCACTACGTTTTCATCCATTCTAACACATTTTTTACATATTTAAAGTAAATAGATCATAAATTTAATGTTCCGGATTTATTCCTAATTTTCATGGGAAAGACTTTCTTATTTGATCCTATACATAGTTTGATTCAAATATAAATTGTGTAATGTGAAACATGGAAAGTTTCCTTTTTACTTTACTGCGCTGCAATTTTCAATTTCAGATACTGATTTTTTGCGATAACAACCATTTTCACTTATTTATTGAAATGTCACCGCGTTTTTAACCAGATCAGATGCATTGTTGAAACTTTTAGGACATGTTTACTTCACATGTCACTAAGCGATGCTTATTAAGACTTGCGTTAATAAGTGACGCGTAAAATAAGCAGCGCTATAAGCTCATTTTAATTGACATGATTAAAACACCGTTTAAAATGAAAGTGTCCAAAATAATCCTATGCGTATATGTACAGACGAGCATTCATGTATACACAAGTGTATATATTAATACGTGGGGCCTACCCCTCACCCCTACTCGTCCTCGTACCCCTACCAATACCACTCGTACGCGTATCCATGCCCGTAACCCCTACCGTTACCTCTCACCCCTGACTCGTGCCACCTACCGGTACCCCTAATTGTACCTTTACCCCTACCCGTCCCTTATCCCTATCCATACCCCTAACTCTTCCCCCTATACCTAACCAATGCCCTTGCCACCCCCTATCCCTTACCCTTACGTCATACATGTACCCTTACCCCAACCCTCTACCCCTACCTTGACAACCTACCCCCACACGTACCCGTAACCCGTACCCCTTCCCCCAGCCCTTACCCATGCCATATCCCTGTTCGCTACCCCTACCCCTATTGAGGATTGGGGTAGGGGCAGATGGGGTATGGGTAAGGGTTACGGGCAGGGTTGGGACAGGATGTGGAGGTAGGGGCAAGGAATAGGGTAAATGTTGGAAATGAAGAGGCTAAAACTACCACGTAATTAATATATGGGGGTGGTATGCTTAGTAAGCGGCACTTTAAGCACGTGCTTGAGTTAGTAAGCAGCATGTGTGTTTATTTCGCTTGTCTTACTAACTTAACAATGGATTTAGAAGCTAAGTGAACACGCCCTTAGACTCATCACATGTCAAATATAATACATGAAAAACAATAACATTTTTCACATTAAGACTTCTTTTTATTTGATTCAATGTAGAGAGAGAGAGAGATCAGTTCTAATTGGAAGTAGTCTTCGTGTGAACCATAAGAACACATCATAGTCATTAATCCCATGAAAGCAACCGAAATAACATGTACGTCGCTAAAGATACATTAATATATTTACACACTCTGGGTGGCGAATTAGGCGCTTTAGGTGGACAACTAGGCAACCTAGACGGTCGACTAACTCAGCTAGGTGCCAATCCAATTAATCGTGATGCGTAGCCACCGGCTAGCCTAGGCGGGTACTAGTCGGGCGCCTAGAACGAATTTTAGAATAGTGATATCACTGATTACTTTTTTTAAGAGTATCTCCAATGCCACGACGTGAAAGGCTGAAATTAGTATCGCCGATTTTTTTCTAAGAGTATCTTTAATGCCACAATGTGCATGATACATATGTGACATGAGAGAAATAAACACATAAATATTTAAAATGTCTTAAATGTTTTTGGTATGTTTTTCTCCACAATGTCAAGACAGATGTCTAGATGTAGACATTGGTATTGATTGTTACACAATTTAGCACGCGAAATCAAAATTTATGTATTTCGTGAAAAAATTGACTGATAAGGCTAATAGCCAAACGAGCCATTAAATTAACTACAAATAAATTAAACTTCAAATTTATTCTTTTTTACATCACGATGTTTGAATTTTTAAAATATAGTTATTATAAAAAAATCTTTTTAATAGTTGTTGTCGTTACATGTGTTTTGTATGAACTTCGTTTTGTGTGATAGTTGTACTTTACTAACGACAAAATTAAGATTTTGTATAATATTAGCAGTAAATTTGTTCGGTGTTACTCCATAAGTAACTATTATTAGCAGTAATAATTCAACCTTACGTCTTTTTTAAATTATTAATTCAACCTTACATCTTTTTAAATCATTTATCTATCCCTTGAGTTTTTGTTATTCACACTATTTACCACTCCGCCTACAATAATCGGATTTAGCTTTATATGTTGTTAAATTTAATTAAACTTTTCTAAAATATATGATTATAAATAATAGGGTATATAATCTTTATCATCTTTAACTTCCTTTACATATTTTCGAATATTACTCTTTGATTATTATGTAACATTAATTTTCCACTGTCACTATAGTGTTTTCATCTCACCATTGAATTAAATCATTTTAAGCTTTGTTTTTTTCCACTAATTCATGAAATTAAATTATTTAAGATATATTCCTCATGTACAAGGTATGAGTATTACTATTACATTTTACTCTCTATAATAATATAATGTATTACCTTTACCTCAAAATAAACTTCAAGATTTCTTTTTGTATGTTCCAATATATATTATTTCTTTCTTTTTTGACAAAGAATATGTGATTCATATTTTTTTTGTTTCATCTACGTGATTTTAAACAACTAAATTTCTACCTTTTAATTATGAATTAATTATTAAACAACATTTTTTTTGTTATCCACCGCAATCCACCTTTGTGCGCAACTAGGGGTTCTTGGCCCCCGTATGCGGAAGTTTTGGGGCCGGCGAGTTGCTTTCGCTCGGCGAATTAGAATAGGTGCAACGGAGTTCAAGTCCAAAATCGTGTCGGGCTTAAGCGACGACCGGCTGATCAACGATCGGCTTCTCTTCGGTGGTGGGCTGCTTCATCTGCGCAAGGGAGCAGTTCCGGTTGGTCAAAGTCGAAAGGGAAAGATGGAGGCCATGGAGGAACGAGGACGCAGAAGATTGATGTGGATAGAGCTGTGGAGGCGGCTCACTTTCGGATTGGTTGTGTTCGTGCAATCTTTTGATCAAGAGATGGAGGCGACTCACGGGCAGATCAAAACGAAGAAGGAAGAATATGAAGTGATGGAAATTAGTCCCCCTCCTGAACCGCCGCCATGGAGGAATTGTGTGACTAGGGTTTGGAAGTCTGTTTTACTATTTCTAGTCTTTTATTTTCAGTCGAGACTGTTTTATCATTTCTATTTTGTTCCTACTATGAAAAACAATAAGCGGGGTAGGTGGGTGTTCTGTTTTGCTTTAGTTGATAGATTACCGGTTGAAGTCAATCAGGCTGATTCAGCCGCTAATAGCCTCTATGCTCTCACAGTTTCAGCGATTAGTTTCGCTCATTTTAGAGCGGACTATTATGTGTCTGGCAATGGCGGCTTTGAGGGCAGTTGGGCCAGGCAACTGCCTTGGGCCTCAACTGCCAAGAGGGCCTCCAAAAAATTCTACTCCGATATTAGTATGAAGTGTTATTTGTAGACCGCCAATACATCAAGCGATAACTGCAAGCAGAAATCGGCTTCATAGTTCACGTCTAACTATCCTTCCTTCATCAAAGTTGTAGCTAATGAAGTCTTCTATCCAACACAACTTGCAAAACTGGATTTGAATCATCCAATCAAAATATATGAATAAAATGGTGGAAGGTCGCATTCTGAAATCTCAACAGAGATTATCTGACTTCATAGTCTGTTTTCACCTTACTTTTCTCATATTCTCGCAATGGTGTTTTTATATGACTTGTAGCCCTTGAAGTTGGCTTTAATATGAAACTTGAATGGTGTTCTTTGGATGTTCCTAAGAAAATATATGCTTGAACGATTGATAGAACGTCATCCTGACCGCTCTTTTCAAGCCCTATTCGTCTTCTTTTGATCTCGTACCTAATTTTAGAGCTCTTTTGTCTTCAAAACTTTGTCTTTAACACCTCACTGACCTCCAATGCTCCTAATCAACTCTCAAATGCTTCTCAACTCGTCCCTATTGCTTCTCAAACGCCGGTGTCGGACTCAAATTCTCTAATTTTGACTCCAAAAATACCAAAACTCTAACAACCTCCCGGTAAATATGACTTGAGCTTAAAATTGAGACTTATGATGTTATTACTGATTTTGCACTTCAAAAGGTATGAATAATAGGCCAATAGGGTGTTACAAGTATAAGTTTGCCCTTGTGTTTTGCATATGTTTGCATTTAAAAATTTATCCTTTTGAATATTACAAACATTATATCGTGAACTTTGAATATGCTTTTTTTCACAAGGTGATTTTTATTCAATTTATCTGATTTTAAAAGTGATTTGTACATAATAAATATTTTTCGTCTGGAGCCTCCAAAATGCTCAAGCCGCCTCTGGTGTCTGGTCATGACATGAGGGGATCCATGAGCTTTGATTTTGGATGTATAGAGAGGGGAATTCAGTTTTTGGGATTTGTTATTGTTTTGAAACGTTTGATTTAATATAAGTTACACTATTTCAGTTGCATCCTTTTTTGATCGTTTGTTATACACAATTTTTTGTATTTTCTCTTTTATAAAAACTCGAACTCTTTGCATCGCACGGGTGCACCCTACGATATATTTGGATTGGAGATATCTAAACCTGTAACACGCTGAAAATAAATACCCCGTATCATTCAAAATTTGAAATCCTAATAGCTTCTCAAGAGAAGCCAGTTAACAATTTGCGCTGCTCCGACGGTACGAAATCCCCTGAGTTTCCGATAATGAGAGGAACATTTCGACATCCCGGGGGCAGAGAGTCAACAGCGCCGGAACGTAGGCCTCCACCTCCCACTCCCACCGCCGACTCATCCTCCGATGCATGGCAGATGTCTTCTTGCGGCAACCGCGACTCCGACGGCAGCTTCGCTAGCTTTGCCAGCAGCCGACCATCCTCGTCATTTGACGTAAACCCTAGGCCGCCCGTCGTCCATGTCACCGACCGGAACTATCAATCCTTCGCTATCCGCGCAGTTAACGACTTCCTCTCCGCTCACTCTCTCCCATTCTCCCTCAAGCCTCCCTACCCTACCGCCAATTCCATCACTGAGACAGTCAAGTTCATCCTCTCTCAATTTGGTGTCCCGACTACCAAGTCTCAGAAAATCGAAGATGACTTCCAAGCCCTACTGAAATCCTTAAAATGCCCCGTCAAATTGAATCGATCTGTTCTTCGTGCCCCTGGAACTCCCCATACATGGCCCAATTTGCTTGCTGTTCTTCACTGGCTGGTTCAGCTCCTCATGTACGACGATCACCAGCTAAACTCGTCTCAGACTCAGCTTGTAGTCCTGGAAAATCGGATGTTTAGGTATTTTGTCCAGACTTATATGCATTTCATCAGGGGAGAGGATGATGAAGTGAAAAAATTGGACGCTAGAATCAAACAGGAAATGATGGGCGAAAAGCAGAGAATCGTAGACCAAGCAAATACATTGGAAAGGATGGGCCAGAAGTTGGAGGAAGAGCTGGAGGGCATGAAGGCTCGGCCTAGCGAGAGGCAGGCGTTGGAGGCTGAGAAAACTGTCTTGGAGTTAGACGTGAAGAAGTTTCATGATATGATTGAGAAGTTAGAAGGGTACAAAGCTGAAATGAGGGGATTGTTAGAGAAGAAGGAAAAAGCCTTGGAGGTTAAGATATCTGAGAAGGACAGGATTTGTGTGGAGAATGAGGAGTTGAAGAGAAGTGTTGAAGAGCAGGGAATTAATGCCAGGGATGCTGAAAGGATGAAGCGAGAATTGCAGGCCTTGGAAGGAATCATTGCAGAGATTGAGGATGCTAGGAATAAATGGGAGGAGAAGGGTTGGGAATTGGACTCTCTTATGGAACATAATTTGGAGAAACTTGAGCAGCTTATGATTGAGTGCAACCAAGCTATGCGAAGGTATCTACATATTATTATCCAATATCCATCAAAAGCCTCATGAAAATTTTATAGGTTTAATCTAGGAGATGAGTTCCATATACATATATTTTATAGTTCAATATAATGGCTTATAGCCTTATACTCAGTTCTATTCTCATACTACAATGAATCTGTAATACGGAGTACGTAGTATTTGTTTTTCACTTGTCCATGCACGTGCTTATTAAGTTATGTATTAGGGAAAAGTATGTCATAATGTCCTTATATGTGACTCGGAAAATTAAACATGCCTCCATATGAGTGTAGTAACCACGTGGCAAGAAAAATTCGAAGGCCAAAGTAGTTACCATACATGCAAAGCACCGTTAACTTGGGATAGAAAAGCTTTTAGGCATATTTTAGGATGTTTTTAATTAGACTGAAATTTTCTGGTATGGTGTGATCCGGTATGGTCTGGTCTTATAAATGTATGGTCTTTGTGAATTATATAACTATCCAAGTCTGGCTTGGTCTGATCTGGTCTAGCCTGGGACTGAAAACAATCCATGTAAAGACATCCTTAGGCATCAACACCTTTTTTGGTCATAGTCCTGGTAATTTTGTCTATGTAATATTATTATACCAATACTTATTACAGTATAATATAAGAAATCAAGATGCAACTGCACAACTGTACATCCCAAAATTTGGCAATCAATCATAGGGGGCGGTTATCTGCATATTGTTATCAATCAAACATCTCGAAATAAATCCATTGTACACACAAATAATATTCTCTGCTTTGAAATTTTACAGGTTAAAACTAGGAAAGGAATTGCATTATCAGTTGGAGGCCAAAGGATCCTCACTAGAGGAGGTCTTAGGAATAGACTACAAATCTATTCTAAAGCCTGCACTTGCTTCCTTGGAGGAGGAATTTAAGAAAAGTTCCATGGAGAAGTTAGAAGCGTTGATCTCTCTTCAGCAACTATCTGTGGACACGACTACTAAAATTGAATCGAAAAAGAACCACCTTACCTCTCTTCAAGCTCACATTGATGAGGTAAGCTTGAGCCTTGAGGCAACTACATGTTTGAGTGCTGGATCTTATATATGCATTAAGATAAAGTGGTGCTCCAATTCAGAAGAATCAGAGGCGTCTTGAGAATTTTGGAGGCCCCAGACAAAAAAAAAATATAGGCCTCTTGCCTGGGCTAACTCCCCCCAAAGCCGCCCCTGAACAAGATTTTTCAAAAAAAAAAAAAAAACTCAAATCATAATAAATAAAATGTAGTCAAAGCATAACATATGAATAGTATATAAATATATTACAAATCAAAAGGAACAAAGATAATAATAAAACCTATAATACGTTAGAAAAATGGTCTCATAATAGTTCTGCAAATCATTGATTTATAAGAGAAAATTCCAAAATAGGACCAAAAGCGTTTGAAAATTCCAAAATAAAACGTCATGTTCTTATTACCTAAATAAGATTAATAAATATCAAGTTTGAAATATATTGTAATGTTTAAATCTAGTATTGCCAAAACATGACAATATTTAATCCTATTTTGAAAATGAAAACATAATAGTCATATTTAGGGCAATATCCTGTTTTATAATTGCATTTTCTCTAAGGGAATAAAATATTGAAGGAGATTGGACAAGAAGCAAGAGTGAATAATTGTCATAAGGGTGGACCTGGTCCGGCGAGCCGGCTCAATTGAAAACTAGGTGCAACATTGTTTGGGACTTGGGTTCGGAAAATCCGGTCCTTCCCGCCCATAGTTTGCCCAAGAATGTTACCCGATCCCAATTCATCCATTTAAAAACCACCTGAGTACCCGAAACCAGTTCATACCAGAATTTAACCGCCTCCTACCAACAATAGGGACCGGCTGTTCCGGGACCGGCCATTCCGGTGTCAGAACCGGGATCAGAACTTGGACCTGCCTGCCCCGGACCTGATTGGGTCCACTCTAATTGTCACCATAAGCTTCTCATTTTAAGTATATAACTCAAATACTAAAATGTCAAAATCCTTGTAACCTACTCCTAGACATCTGTATTCTAGTTATTTAGCACTACATACGTAGTATTTTATTGACTAAATTCTAAAAAGTAAGACGGACTAAAATTAAAAGAAGGAGATTAGGAGAGATCCTAGAGACGGAGATTTGTCGAGGTGGGCGGCGACTCGGCGAGGCATTCAATAGACGAACGAGGGTGGGCTGGGAGTCACCTTCAATCATCAAATCGCCATTGTCACTGCGTCTCTGGTCAATTTGGCTCTTGCAATGCAGATTCGTTCGCTGGGGAGTGGGGATTGGGAGGAATCACCAAATTTGAGATGTGGAGGGACTTGTTAGGTGTTGTTGAGTTGTTTTCTATGGAATTGAGTTTAGGAGTTTGTATTCTACACTTCAACTACCAATTCCAAGCCACTATGAGTTAAAATTAAGGCCCTAAAATTAAATTTTTACATGGAGTATTACTAATACTACGTACTTCTTATTTGAGGCCCTCCGCTGATACGAGGCCCTAGGCAACCGCCTGGGCTGACTGGCCCCAAAGCTGCCACTGAGAAGAATTCATATCATATGTATGGTGATCATATATGTCAGCTCACCAAATCTCATTTAGTAGATAAATGAGATGTTGAGATATTTGATGAAGTATACCCTACCTACCTAAATGCCGCAGTTAACTTTTGAGCAGTGGATTATAGCCTTTAGTTACATTTGATTAATGTGCATTTAACAAATGATGCCAGAGACATATTTAACAAAAACCAAAAACACTATTTTCCTTTTCTGGTGTTGTATATTTTTAATAAAACTATGATAATTTCAATTGATATATGCACGTCCGTCAGAAGATATAAATTTCCTTCATTTGACACCAATAGAAACTGTCCTTTTGTAGTTTTAGAGATAGAAGAAAGGATTCTTCGATGTATTTACAATCTCAGAATACAGCGTGAGTATAGAAGTGTAGAATCCAACATTATTCCAACCCCACAAGGAGCATCTTCTCCTATAAATGAGGAACTGATAGGATCTAACCAAACCAAGCATGCCCAATATGTCCCACTCGCATGCAGAATCTAGGGTGTGTCTGATGTGTGCAAATGTTATCTCACTTATCTCTACCTTGAGAGTAGAGAAGTTGTTTATGTCCACATAAACTTCCATATTCAGCTGACTTTTCCTAACCTGATAAATTAAATAAATGTCAATTACTTCATTCTACAGAAGAAGTCATTGGTTGAGCGAGCTTTTTTAATTGGCTTATACCCCGTTTAGTGAGAGTTATTCAGCTGATATGCCTAAATCTTCTGAACTTTCTTCAAGACAAAGTTTTTTAGTAAAATCTGTTTCAGTTAAATAATTTAAGGCAAAAGTCAAGCAGAACTAGCCACTTTTGGCTGCCAAATAGGCTCTTCATCATTTGGTTAAAGGGTACAGTAAATTGGAAACACCTATGGTAGTATAAATGTATAATCGCTTGTTCCTGCTTCGATCTGATTTGCAACGTAGGCCTATAATTTTTGTATTTTATAAATTAGGTTGAAGGACAGTCTGCGAGAATACGGAGGGAAACAGTAGAGATCACATCTAGATGTGCATCTGAAGCAAAAAAGTTGGCAGAGGATATTGAAGCAGAGGGTCAACGTATTGAGCTTGTCGAGAGAGAGGGATCAGCTTTTCTCAATGTATATTTCGCTTTCCCATTAATTTGTTGAGTCTATGTTATCTACACACGCACGTGTGTCATTTTTTTAACATTATGATCTCTATAATAACCATACATGTGTTGTTTTGAAGGCATTAAATGCCAAATTGCAGGAAGTAACGACACAAAGCGAGAAAGAAGTGCAGAATTGTGCTCGCCAATTATTTGCTACTGTTGATTCGTTATCAAAATATAAAGAGTATGTGGCCTCCAAAGCTGCAGTTATGAGAAACAATCTCCTTGAAACTGCTTCCACCATAGCCAATCTTCACAAAGGAGTTTCATTAGTACAATCTAATGAGTAGATATATTTGCCTCATCCTTATCCAGAAGTCGTGTTGTATTTTTTATGTTGCCATTTATGTAACGCTTCTATAAGCTAATAGTTTCAGCAGTTTTAATGCAACACTTGTGTCTTTTCTTGCCTGCTCAGCACTTTTTTTATTCAGCTGAATCACAAAGCCACTAGGTTGTCAATTTATCAGTAGAATGGTCGATATCAACTTTATTTGTACAGTGCAGCTTCGTTAAACCTAGATTCAATAAAATTTGGGTAAATTTACGTGAAACCGGGCGTATCCGTGTATATATGAAAATGTTATTTGGATAACTTTTAGGTCCACCTAGGTAAATGTGGTAAAAGTTTGTGTGGATTAAGGTTAAACTTGTTGAAGATCTTAAAGTTACTTACTTATAAATAGGATATATCTCCTAGATCCTCCAATCATCCAATGTCGCTCCCAAATTGAGTCACTGGAAGTTTTCATACGTTCTTTCATAAACTTAAGTTCATGTCATTTGCAACAAAACAAGCTGAACCCATACCTAAACGGCTAAACCTGGATATACTGTAGAGTAAATTACAATATGCCTTTTGTCTCTAAATCACCACAATCTGGTATTATAAACTGTAATGTATAGTCTAAATCTTAACCGTGGCATAATGGTAGTTAAAGACCTTTCCTATAGGACCTCCCTTAGCTATGGGGCCTATGGAGGCCCACAAAATTGATATTGGACATCAGCGCGTGTATTCTTTTATATAAAAGTTGGGGAAATTTATTCAAAATATGAGCTCAAACAAGGTGATTTTGGATATTATAATTCCCCTCAAAATAGGAGCAAAGTATTAACATCCTAAAATTATATTGTCATATTATTACATTTATCTATGGCAATACTACAGCCATAATATCACAATGTCATTTCAAATAATAGTTTTTTTTTCATATTTTCAGAAATACATAGTACTACTATTTAAAATATCACATTATGTTAATGCCATTTAGGTTAATTTTTTTTATAAAAGTATATGGAGTATCCCTTCCACACTTTTTAACTTGTTACTATTAGTATGTCACGAAGATTAAGAAAACAGTAGATGATAAATAATTTAGGTAGAAAAAATATATAAGAGAAAGTGAAAAAGTAACAAATAAAAAAAATAAGAAAATGAGAAAATCTAGGATACTGGGAAAGAAAATATGAAAAAATAAGGTAAATTTTCCATGTATAGATGTGACAAATAACAACAAAAAACTCCGGAATGTAACACATGACAAGTAAAAAATAACAGGAATTTTTTAAACGGCTAAATTGATGTAAATACACTACATAATAGACTAATAGTTATGATTTGTGAACGTAAATACGTTTTGTTTTGTTTTATGTTATCGTATCATTTCGTATCATAAGACTAACTTAAATTGTGAGACAACTAAGTTATGAATTTTATCAAAAGACATCTTCCACATTGTAGTGTATGTTTACAACACAAACATGTTGGGGTGTGCAAAATTAGTAAATGCAGTACCACAACCGATAGGTTTTTGGAAAATGCTTAGTGTACATGAGTTGTACACAAACTGTACACAAAACCCCCCTAGTTATCTGTATACAAAAGCAATTCATTTAGAAAAGGGCGGAATTTGATACCCAATTGCATGTGTACACAGACAATGTACACATCTTGGTTACACCAAGCATGGCCCTAGGTTTTTTTACAATTCCGACTTTGAAAACATTCTATATGCAAAAAACTATCACAAGTATAGTCAATAAAACTTTGTAACTTGTAAGCAACCTATTCATACAGAACACAAATATTAGAGAATACTACACGACATTTTATATAGTCCCATATAGGTGTGGGCATATCGGTTTTTATTGGTTTCAGTTCGCTTTAGAACGGGTTGAGAGAATTAGTACCAAACAAAAATCATACTATTTTTTCAGTTTGGTTCAGTTCGCTTTAGTTCAGTTTGGATGTTATTTTTTAGTAAATAATTAAATATGTTTTGCCAAAAAAAAGTATAAAATTAAATATGAAGGATTTATTGAATTTCTTTAGTTTGTTTTGTTCGTTTTTTATCAGTTTCGGTTCGGTTCAGTTTAATACGGTTTGGAAGATATACCAGCAAACTCAAACTAAATTGCATATGGTCCGGTTTCGGTTTGGTGTAGTTTGATTTGGTGCAATTCAATTAAACCAAACCAATATGTCCACCCTAGTCCCATACTTCAGCCTATTTTGTAGTGCACTCCGATAACCAATTTTCTTGGAATACAAACTTATACATTCAATTATAGTATAGAAATTGGTGGTGTTGGTTAATTTCCCTTTCTAGAACCTAATGAATGTTTGTGAACCAGTGGTGTTCTCTTTTGCTAAATCCCCTTCTCTAACTTTTTGTTGTAGTTATTGTTGTGTAGGACATCATTCCTGTACAGTGGGAATGATTTTGGTTGCTAAAAGAACCCGAATCTAAATATGAATGAAGAACAGAAGAACTCAGTGTTTTTTCTTGTTAACTGCAAAACATTCTAAGCTATTAATCTACTGTAAATGTGTGAGGTAAAAGGCATCTTTAACAAACTAGCAAAATATCATGGATGTCGGGATTCCAGACCCGACTTATTTAAAGAAAATTGATTTGGAGACTTGAGCCCGACGATATATGGCCGGTTATGGTCATAGCCATCGGTTTTTTTTACTCCAGGGAGCGTCTGGGGAGGGGGGCCGGGGGCCTAGAGTAATCAGGGCTGAAACTCAGCTCATTGAGTTTCAAATCCTTATGTGCCTAGTGGGTTTCGAACTCGAGACCTCTCACTAGGCACGGTAACCAGCTGGGCTGTAATGCTTGTTTAGCCTCATAGGTTTCTTTCTCGCAAATGTCGTCAACAATGAGACAAGGAATCAAAGCAAACAAGATGTACTGTGGCTGCACAAGATGTTCATGAAATCTTATTCCAAACGTTCACCCCTGAAAAGGCATTTACAATACATGTCTACATCCTCTTTTCATCCACACAAAAAATTGCTCTTATTGATTCATTAAATAACCTCAAACACTCACTCAAAGAAAGAAGTACATAAATAATCCTTTAGACAGCAAGATTTTAAAGGTAAAATTTGGAAGCTGAAATGCTGCCTCCATTGAGTAAAATCTGGTTGAGATAAACTCATGAACATGAACAATATAATGTACACTGACAGTCTGTCACATATATGCACAGTGGTAAGAAGTAAGTAACATATACAAATTGAGAAGAAATGCATTTCTCTCCTATCCCCCCAAAGGTGGGCATCTTTCCTATTTCACCTTAACCACACAAAGGCTTAGTTTCTAAGCATTAAGATTAAAATGTTGGTAACTATTTTTTTGCATCAACATCACAAATGAATGGAAGTTTTCGTAAATGTATTACTTCAAGACCTGGAAGGCACATGATTTGGTGGGAAGGTCAAAGCTGCTGTCCTCACAAACGGATGGTCCAATAGTTCACCAGCGGTGGGGCGATCAGTTGGGTTAACTTGTAAGCATTTAACAATGAAATCCTGAGCATCTCTTGACAATGAATCAGGTATACGTGGGCGTTCACCCTTACCAATTCGAAACAGTGCTTGCATCTTCACATAACCAATTAAATTGTTGCCGTGGAAATTACAAAAAAAGATATATGTTCAGCTCAATAGTTCCTCAAGTAGCATGTACTAAGTAAAATATGACTCGACAAAGTATATGCTTCAGGAAAAAAAATGCTTTTTGATATGTCAAATATTATACGGGAACAGGGTGGGGGGAGGAATCTGGAGTGAGAAAAACTGGACATGAATAAATGCAAAAACACTTCATTGTAATACACTTTTATGGTAAGTCATACAAACATAATGAATACATGAGCAGAAGCCAAATGAAAATATCATACATACCCCTTCTAAGTTAGAGTACGGAAGTTGACCAGTCAACATCTCTAAAACTGTACATCCCAGGCTCCATATATCAGCAGCAAGCCCATATCCATTGCTTTTCCGGTTAACAACCTGATAATGGATTCTAATATAAAATGAAATAGTCGTGCATGTATGAATAAAATGAAGGCATTGTAATGTGACTTTCAATACTGTTGTGGCTATGACAATAACTTGCGGCTATGACAATAGCTTTAATGATCATTATGTTGAGTTTTATACTGTAATGGATTATGACAGTAACTTTAGTAACATTTTTGTCCATAAATTCATTTCAGTACTATTTAAAGAAAGCCTCGTATAAAACTCATGCACAAGAGATATGCTCTAGCTCACAGCCACACACAATGTATAAACAGATAACTTTTGATTTCACTGGAATCTTTATATCTTCTCAAATTCACTATAGAAGTAAGAAAAGATTGATAAAGTGATTCACAATGATGAACACATACACTCCTATCAAAATTCTCAAATCCGAACTTCTCTTTACAAGGTGATAGAGCACCAACCAAATACCAGGAAATCTGCTTGTATTAAATAATTGATCCTGATAAAAACTCAGAAATCCTTAGGGGAATTACAGAAGAACGTAGAACATAGATAGACAAAACAATAAGAGTGTCTCTCTCTTCCCAGGGCCCACCCACTAACAGAATACCCAGCTAAAAGCTCATAGTTAGAAACCACACTAAAAGCTCTATTATACCTAAAACCAAAATCCAAATATGATAAAAATGTGTTGTGAAAACTAAGCAAATAGATTGACCACATGGACTGTTAACTGTGGTAAGTAGATAACATTATATGAAATTTGGGTAGTAGAGGAAATCAACAAATTAGCTTGTGTCAAATGTCTAAAAACTACATGTGCATCATTTATCATACACTACCTCCGTCCGGGTGGACTTTGCCAAGTGCAAAGTAGGTGAGAAATAAGAAAAGTAAAAATTATGTGGTTGAGATTTGTGAAGAGGAGAGAGAAATGTGCAGAACCACAAATTAGTTGCTTTAATAGGAAAGTCACAAAGTTTTTTGGGACAACTAAAAAAAGAAAATTGGCAAAGTCCAATGGGACGGAGGGAGTAATAATTACACATGCACCTGTGAAGACACATTAATTAGCACGTGAACGCTTTTAATGCACAAGTAGATTCTCAAAGGAAAAGCAAACCTCAGGGGCCATCCAAAATGCAGTTCCTTTGCAAGATTTTATGTCATTCAGTTTTGTTGCCTGAGAAGAGTCACAACTCAAAGTATTACAAATGAAAATGTGAAGCAAACAGAAAGAAGGTGCAAGTGACAGAACAAACCAACCTTTGCTAACCCAAAATCTGCAAGCTTCACGGAACCATTTACGTCCACCAGTATATTAGCACATTTGATATCCCTTCAAATATAGAAAAGAGCACAATACAATGCAAAAATAAATAAATAAATAAAATGTTAAAGATTTGTATAGAAGTCTCCTTATTCAAGACGAACAATGTACAACAAAATGCAATTCATTCTCCTAAGTGTTAAACTGAGCATATGAATGAAATTGCTTCTATACCTATGGATCACGTTGCGGGAATGAAGATAATGTAATCCACTTAAAATTTGCCTTGTGTACACAGAAACCTGAGTATTGCGCAGTTGATACTTGCGGTAAAGACTCGCGAGCGAACCTTTAGTTACAAGTTCAAGGAAGATATAGAGTTTGCTGTCACCCTGCAAAAATTATTTAAAATCATTTGAAGAAGTGTAAAAGGGGTCTCCAAAAAATATTGCATGTGACCATTTGTGCATTCATAAGGCTGAGTTCATGAGTAAAGCATAAAGATTGTTTAAAATTTAATTTTTAGGAAGTGAACGGTTTTGCTTCAGATATTAATAAATAAGGGGAGAGAAATTCAAATAGCACATAAGTGTTTGAAATTATGATTTTATCCATGAGAAAAGCCACTGAATTTATTGCTGAGTATATTTTTGTCATTTTTATTTCAATGGGATTAAGTAAGCAAGAGCCACAACACACAAGCCATGAAACAATTCATTCAAAAAACATGAGAAAGAGCATCAAAAGATAATAATATACCTTATCCGTTCCAAGATACCGAACTATGTTTTCATGTTGAAACTGACTTAAAAGTGAAATTTCCTGACACGAGCCACATCAAGGTGTAAGCAAACAAAACATATTATCCAATCAAAATATCTCGTGTGATTGTTATTTGAAATTCTATAGGTTGTTTAGATACCCAGACATATGAATACTGTATAGACATTACTCAACATTCCTACCTGTTCGAGTTGATAAATGCTTTGCTGGCCATGGTTTCCTGTGGCAAGTAAAGAAACTTCCTTTACAGCAAAGAAGAAGCCATCGCTGAAAACAAGAAATTTTAAGAAGGATTTTACTGCCTTTTCCTCTTGTGAAATACTTTTCATCAGGAAGCTTTGGTCACGAATATTGTAGAATGTCCCCTTTTCATAATCCACATAAGAACTTGACAATAGAGGTCATGCTAGTTTTTAAAAAAGGACGTAGTTAGCCTTCTATTAGTTCTATTATGATATGATAGCAACTGTTAGTGCAATGTGACAATAGTCACAGCCCTTCCACTCTTGAAAACTAGACACAGTCCCACCGACCATTTACAACTAGGCATCATTGCATCAATAAGAATTTGGTTTCGCTAACTAGTCCCTCTGTTAGGTTTTGGAACCACAGAACTAAATTACTTCATTTTCAAATATACTACTCATTTAAAAATGATAATAATGCACTATTGCAATACAACTTTCTTAAAGGGGGTGGATTTGTTGATAGTATATTATACTCCCTCTGACCCTAATTTAAAGTCTCACTTTCCTTTTTGGGATGTCTCTAAATTAAAGTCACTTCCTCCCGCTTCCTTATTTGGTAAACAAATCTATATCAAACAATGTCAAACAGTGTCAAAATAGTGTCAAACAGTGTAAAATAGTGTCCAAACGTTGTACTCTAAGTAAAATTTACTCCTCAATAAATTCATTTCCTTAATATGTGTGAAGTCAAACTAGGACATTGATTTAGGGACGGAGGGAGTAGCATATAGCATCATAAATAACATTGACATGCAATGCAAAATACGAAGTATAGGACTTACTCAGTGTAGCCTTCATAGACAGTTCCAAATGAACCACTACCCAGAAAATCGCCCTTCTGCCAATTCTTAATGCTGCGCATGAAAAAACCATCACCTGAAAGGGTATGCAAAAACTCTGTTCCCGCAATGCATGAATGATCATCATCTTCTTCATTGTATGAATCTGAAAAAGACTCTGATAGAACAACAGGCACATCTCTCATATTCACGTTACTTCTTTCTTTATTATCAATTGCATTCCCAACATCCCCAATTCTGTGCTCTTCTGAACAGTTTGTGTTCTCAAAGGGATCACCAGACTCCTCATTACTGGGATAACTTAAACTCCTACCAAAATCACAAGGCTGGCTCAAACCATCAGCAACACACTCTTTGGCAGCTAATCTAGGCGAACTAGGAAACAAGCTGCCACCATTTCTTTCAATTACATCGCCCAATTCAGCGCTAGCTTCATGCTGATGTACATCTAGAAATGTATCAAATTCATAAGCATTTGCATCCATAACTCTCCAACTACGGGTAAGTTTAGAGCTCCTTACACTCGTTGGAGTTGAGGAAGCACTGCAAGCCCCCCAAGTAGCATAAGGTATAGCAAAATCTTCAGGGGAAATCCCAAGAGAGCGGCAAATTTGATCGAATTCGCCGCCGGCTCCTCCTACCCGGAAGCTCGTCAAGTCCGGTGACGAGAAATAGTCAACCGACCGGGTCCTGGGAGTTGACTGGTTGTGAAAGGAATAAGACGGCGAAGAAGTCGTGGAATCAGAAGCCTCGCAGTCGCTACCCTTTATCGCGTTTTGTCGGTCAAGACGAGGTCTTGACGCCTTCGGCTTCGCATGCATTCCTCCTCACGCTCGATTACTCTCTATCTATCTTGGACTGGTTAATACATACACGCAATTACAAGAGGAGGTAGCCGCCAGTACAACTGTACAAAGATAAAGATTTGATTTTTTGCTTCGTATATCTCTCTTAGTCTCTCCCTCTCTCTGTGTCTGGTTTGTCAAAATTTAAAGGAACTTATCTGAGATGAACAAGCTGTTGGAAATGGCGAATGAGTGAATCGGAACACTTCGCTCGCAGAGTGTCCGGGGAAGGAGATTTGTTGGATGACTGGGAAGCCGCCAAAATCCTATGAACTGATTAAAGAAAAAAAAGGTATGTGAATTAAATATGGTTTAGCACGTACGCTTTTAATGTGATAAATGAAACAAAGTTAATTTTTATATAACGTGTAAATATGTACATACTTCCTCCGTCTCTTTTTAGTTACAACATTCCTTTTTTCACGTTTTCCGATGCACAACTTTGACCGTCATTATATTTAATTCCGCATTAGTAAAAATAAAATAAAAATCAGATTATAAAACTTAGTAATGAGACGAATTTAAAAAAAAAATTCAAAAAAAATAATTCACATACATTAATAAATAAAATATAGTCAAAGTAAAGTACATGAATAGTGCATATATTCCAATGTTGCAATTAATGCGATACGGAGGATAGTATATACTACCTCCGTCCCTTAAAACTTTGCTAATGGATAGTGTACCCGAGGGGTAGCTTATCTGAGGGGTTATTGCGGGGAGTAACAAGAGAGAAGTCAGAGCAGGTAAATGTAGAGAGAGAAAGTATATTATAAGTGTGGAGCGTTTTCAGCGTGGTTACAAATGGGGAAATGGGGTGCTATTTATAGTAGCACTAAATGCCGGACAGGGACACGTGTCAAGCGCCCATTGACCGAGAGGTCACCTCAACTGGTTGGCGTTGGCAGCCGCATGTGGTCGCATTTAATGCGGCTGTTGGATGGGACGTCTGTACAAGGTACGGTGATCTGTACGCATGTGAGGCGGATATCATGTCGGGAGAGGTGCCCTCGGCTGCAGAGGACTAGCCGAGGGCTCTTAGTGCCGAGGACCCCTGAGTGCCGAGGGCTCCAGGTGCCGAGGGCTACTGTTTTCGCCGTTTTCTCCCAGTTCATCTGTTTGTTCGAAATATCCACGCTATGATAGTTTGGAGCCTTCGGCCAGGGGGGCGAAGGCACCCCTGATGCGTATTGCGGACTACTTGGTACTCTGGGCGCCGTGATTTGGGCCTGTTGGGCCTTCTGGGCCTGTTGGGCCTTCACTAGAGTAGTAGGAGTCTGTGGGCCGGGTGTTCCCGGGCCATATACTCCATCAGGAGTCCCTCACTCCTTTTGCCGAAAGGTACTTGAGGGAAAAGGAGTAATTTGTGTTTGTCCCCTGTCGTTGTTCCGTTGTAATTTCTGAGGTTGGTTTGTTGCTTGCATGTCCCTGCCGAAGGCAGTCCCTCAGTTACCCACATGTCGGGACTTGAGGGCTTGCTTTGCCGTTTGTTGGAATTTTTCACCAATTTTGTAATTTAATGATTTTCCCGAGGGGGTCCTCCAGTCCCCCACTCCTTGAGGCACTTGTAAAGTGGTGAAAAGGAGTAGAGTAGTTGCGTTGCTGTTGTGGGCCGAAGGCTGACGCTTTTCGTTTCATTTTGGGGGGATGCCTCGTTAAAAACCTCATTAGGAAAAACCCTGGGGGAAAAAATCCTAATGAGGGAAAAAGAGTGCACCGAGTTCCCCCAACGATGAATCGAAAATGCGAAACCTTGGTCAAAAATGGAGAATAACGGTAATGCCGAAGGCTCTCCTTTTTCTGAGGGCTCATGTGTTGGTTAGCCGAAGGCTTGCTGTTGATGTCCCGGGGGTGCCGAAGGGGAGCCCCTCAATCTGGGGAGCGAGGGCGCGATGGATGAGGGCAGTAGTTGAATTGTCACCGGGGGGTCCCCTGCTTGTTGATTAGTTGGTGATAGGGATATCCGGGGGCTCCCATTACCTGTGTGCCGTAGGCTATCCGTCAATGAGGTAACTCCCCGGGGGCCACCCGGTCCTTATAGTGCTGAGGGGGAATCCCCGAGGGGTGGCCTGATATGAAGCCTTGGGTTTCAGAAGGAGTGATGCCGAAGGCGTCTGTTATGTACTGTGTGGGGCACAAACCGGGGGCGTCTCTGGGTAAGTGTACCCGGAGGCTCTCCTTGATGAAGTGGAGTGATGTAAGAAAATCCGGGGGCTCCCAGAATATAGTCGTTGGAAATATAGCCGTTGGAATATGTAACGTCAGGTTATAGCCGTTGGGGGGGGTACACGTGGAGTGTAGCCGTTGGCTGCTCGTGGGCGGGCGTCACCGGTTGGGTGAAACGACGGTGCGTAATGATGGCTTTGGCCGCTGGGAGCCCGGATCTCGGCCCAAGCCCGGATCTGGGAGCCTATAAATACCCCAAGCCAATGTCATTCCTTCTTTACGCATCCAACATCCTTAGCGAAGCTTTGCCAAAATTTCTAGAGAGAGAAACTCAAGCCTTCGGTCGAATCCGCTGCTTTCAAAGGTCAGTCCCTCCTTCTTCAAAGCTCTTAGTAAGTCTCGTCCTGTGGCCTTAGATTAGGCGCTAGAGCCCGTAGAAAGCTTTCGAAATCTTAGGCACATTTCGTGATAAAAAATGTCGTCCGAGAGCGATTCCCAAAATATGTCGAGGGACCCTTCGGCTGATGAGGAGCACGTTTCTGATTCGGAGTCCGTGAGCGAGCCCTCGGTTGGTGCTGATGCCGCCCTGGCCCGGGAGGTTCAGAAGGAACTTATTGCTGAGGTCGAAGCCGAGGGCTTCGAGCAAGAGTGCGAGGATGAAGACCTAGCCCTCGCATGGCAAGTAGCGGAGGATGAGGCGCAAAATGAGAGCACGAAGGTTACAGTTGATGTCCCCCCCCCCCTCCCCCCGGGGGGTTCTGGGGAAGCAAGTAGCTCGAGGCCGCTAGATCCAACACCTCTGAGGGCGGTCTCCGGGTTGAAGAAGAAGAAGGCGAAGGCCGCTACTAAAAAGAAGGAGAGGGCTGTTGATCAAGGAAAGCCAGTGGACATGCCCGAGGGGTACAGTTGGTTGAACACCGAGGCCCTCGAGATTAAGTCGAAAGCTGATAGGGCAGATTTGTACGTTACTCAGCTGCACGTGGGGCCCTTGGCCGAAGTGGTGGAGCCGGGTCCTGACGACGTGTTGTCCAGGGCGCCCGAGGGGTGTATCGCCATCCACATCCTCTCGGTTTCTATGGGACTTAGGTTCCCTCTGCATCCGTTTCTTCGGGAGTACCTGAGGTTTGTTGGTTTGGTCCCCTGCCAGCTTACGCCCAACAGCCACTCCTACATTGCGGGGTTCCTCCAGCTCTGCAAGTCCCGAGGGGTGAAGCCTAGCCTGGATCTATTCTTCCAGAGCTTTAATCTGTGCCGAGGGGGGCACGAAAACGGAGAGGGATACGCGAATCTGCAGCAGATCGCCCGTTTCAAACTATTCTCCGATGCCCCTTCTTCAAACAAAGGGTGGAGGGAACGTTGGTGCTATGTGAAGTTGGGCGAGAACCCATTCCCGAGGGAACTGCGCGATCGATTCCGAAGGCACGAAAAGATCAGGAGTGCTGCCCTCGAGAAAGACGGCCTAAAGCTCGCCAAGTTCCCGGAAGGGAAGAATAAGAATGTGGCGATCAAAGATTGCACCCTTGAGGAAGACTTATACACCCTCGGGTTCCGAAGGTACCGCTTCATAGGGGAGACCGACGAGAAGTATCCTCTCTTCAACAAGGCCTTCGGAGGAGCCGGAGGTAGGAGCTGAGGGCTTTAGATTTTTGTACTTAGTTTTTTTTTTGCTTGGATGTCATTGTCCCTTCGCTGTCGACCCGTCGGCCTAATCCTTTGTCGTATTTTTGTAGGTATCCTCGTGTCCATGGTGAACGTGAAGGGTCTTGCGCGTCTGAAGAAACAGGACCCGAAGGGGTCGGGACAGGGCAACCAGAAGCCCGCCACTGCCCTCTTCAAGAAATCTGAGGGCGATGCCGCTGCCAGCAAGAGGAAGGCGGCGACCAAGGGGTCCCCCCCGGCTACCAAAAAGCCGAAGAAGGGGGATATCACCGATAAAGAGCCCCCGGTTGTGATTGCTGATGAGCACCCCGCTTCCGGGGTGCATGTGGAGAAACCATCGAATGGTCCACCGGTGGGGGCGGAGGAGTTGCTGCCTGAGGTCCTCCATGTTTCTCTTCCGAGGGGTACATCTCTGGCCAGCGGCGCTGTTGACCCGGGGGCCATCTTGAGGGGCATAACCCCTGAGACGGATAGGGCTGCCCTCGGGGCTTATAATGATGCGGCCCTCGAAGACCACATTCTCCGCTCCTCCCTCTCTGTAAGTGTTCACTCGGCTTTCTTCCTCTTTTCCTTTGATCATTTTGCGTGACTGCCTTTAACCGTTTTTGTTGTTGATCTGCAGGCTTGTATAGCCCTCGGTGAACAGGCCCGGAGGCTTCAAGAATGGCGCCTCCATAAAGCGGAGCAGGACGCCAAAATGAGGGAGTGTATCCTCAAAAATAAGGAGGCCGTGAAGCTGGGGGCCAGGCTAGAAGAGGAGCTTCGGCAAATGAAGCTAAAATTGGAGGCCGCAGAAAAGAGCAAGGCTGATGCCGAGGCCACTGCTGAGGAGGCCAGGAGAGCTGCCAAAGAGGCTGAGGATTCCAAGGCGCTAGCCGTCGCCAAGGCTCAGGAGGAGGCCGTTGACGCCTTCGTCGTCGAGGGTTGGAGAGCCGAGGGACGCAAGGTGTGGGTGTCCTCGGTCGTGGAGGCATGCGTTGATGAATGGGCCGAGGGCCCTGGGTGGGAATGGATGGCTCGGAAGGGCAGAGAATATTATGAGGCCGGCGAATTCTTCACCCAGGCCCTCATCTATCGGAGGATGGCCCGGCACTTGGGCATTGAGCCAAAGGATTTCGCCCCCTCGGCATATGGCCTCCCTCCCCTGCAGCCTGATGTCCGTGAATCCCTTCCCGAAGGTGTACAACGGCCCGATCTTGAGGACACAGAGCTGAACAAAGAGGCCGAGGACGACGTTGTTGAGGCCGGAGCGGAGGTATCGTCAAGGCCGGCTGCAGAGGACGCCCCAGGGAATGATGTTGTTGAAGTTGTTGAGTGATTTTGTACTTAGAAATTTCTGAACAAATTTTTGTAATGAACACCATTGATCCTTCGGCTTTGGCCTGTTTGTAATTTTACACTTACTTCTGTTCTTGATGAATGCATGCTGCCTCCGGGCTTTTCACATT